TTGAAGGAGTAGATTGCTCAATTGTGCCTGTGGTGGGTATGAAGTTTAATAACGAAAATAAAATTTTACAGTTTTACAAAACATATGCGTACGACGTAGGGTTTCCGGTTAGAAGAAGAAACTCAGCAAAGGATGATCATGGAGTTGTAAGATATATTGCGCTCACATGTAGCCGTGAAGGATGCAAAAACTATAATCCTAGCGGTTCTTTGAAGGCACATGCAACCATGCAAACAGGTTGCAAATCCAGACTTACTGCTTCTGCAGATGCATCTGGAATATGGCGAATTAACACGGTCAATCTCAATCACAATCATAAAACAAGTCCTTCAAAGTCAAGATTGTACCGTTGTAACCGAGAATTGAAAGCTCATGTTAAAAGACGGCTTGAAGTGAACGATCTGGCGGGGATTCCATTGCATAAAAGTTACAACTCCGCAGTCGTAGAAGCAGGTGGGTATGAGAATATGACTTGTGTGGAAAAGGATTGTCGAAATTATGTCGAAAAAGAAAGGCGATTAAGACTTGGAGAAGGCAATACCGTAGCAATACAAGCTTACTTTTCGAACATGCAAGCAAAGTGCCTGGGTTTTTACTTCAGTATGGATTTAGACGAAGAGTCGCGGTTGAGGAATATTTTTTAGGCTGATAATAGGAGTAGATAAGCATATAAGGAGTTCGGTGATGTTGTAACATTTGATACCACCTACCTAACTAATAGCTATGACAAGCCGTTTGCACCTTTTGCTTAATTCTTTCTTTCAGTTGGATCGTTGTGGCGTTCACTTCCGGGTTCACTCATGATACGAAGCCCGGGTACAGGATCAGCGTGGAAATCGCAGAATTAATTGAAAACGGCCCAAATTCAGGTTGGAGACGGTAGAATCTCGACCCGCAAATTATTGAACCAAGCAACCAAACAAAAACAAAGTTTGAATGACCTCTTGATTACAAAACCAACGAACCTTGATTTGAGAACGCTACAAAGGGTGCCTAATCCTTTGATAAGTTCTAAGGGTTGAACGCGACAAATATAACAATATTTGATAAGTTCGGTACATGTTCATTCAAAAACAAAAAGAGAGAAATCTCATTTAATTCATAATGTCAAAAAGGTTCTTATGTTACAATGAAATAAAGTTTCATATTTATACTAAACCTAGAAA